GAAATAATGGAGAAAGGAAGCAGATAAAGAAGTAACGGAGGAATAGGGAGGAGGAGGAAAAGAATAGGAAGAAGAAGAAGAGGAAGAAAGTGAAGAAATAGTCGGAGAAAGGAAGCAGATAAAGAAGTAACTGAGGAATAGGAGGAGGAGGAAAAGAAGAAGAAGAAGAAGAAGAGGGAGAAAGTGAGGAAAATAGGGAGAAAGGGAAGCAGATAAAGAAGTAACGGCGAATAGGGAGGAGGAGGAAAAGAAGAAGAAGAAGAAGAAGAAGAAGAGGAAAGTGAGGAAATAGTAGGAGAAAGGAAGCAGATAAAGAAGTAACGGAGGAATAGGAGGAGGAGGAAAAGAAGAAGAAGAAGAAGAAGAGGGAGAAAGTGAGGAAATAGTAGGAGAAAGGAAGCAGATAAAGAAGTAACGTAGGAGGAGGAGGAAAAGAAGAAGAAGAAGAAGAAGAAGAAGAAGAAGAAGAAGAAGAAGAAGAAGAAGAGGAAAGTGAGGAAATAGTCGGAGAAAGAAGAAGAAGAAGAAGAATGGAGGAAAGGAAGAGGAAAAGAAGAAGAAGAGGAAGAAAGTGAGGAAATAGTAGAGAAAGGAAGCAGATAAAGAAGTAATGGAGGAATAGGAGGAGGAGGAGAAGAAGAAGAAGAAGAAGAAGAAGAAGGAAGAAAGTGAAGAAATACTCGGAGAAAGGAAGCAGATAAAGAAGAAAGGAAGAGGAAAAGAAGAAGAAGAAGAAGAAGAAGAAGAAGAGGAAAAAAGTGAGGAAATAGTAGAGAAAGGAAGCAGATAAAGAAGTAACGGAGGAAAGAGAGGAGGAGGAGAAGAAGAAGAAGAAGAAGAAGAAGAAGAGGAAAAAAAGGAGGAAATAGTAGGAAAGGAAGCAGATAAAGAAGTAACGAGGAAGAGAGAGGAGGAAAAGAAGAAGAAGAAGAAGAAGAAGAAGAAGAAGAAGAAGAAGAAGAGGAAGAGGAAGAAAGTGAGGAAAGTAGAAAAGGAGAAAAGGAAGCAGATAAAGAAGAGAATAGGAGGAATAGGAGAAGAAGAAGAGAAGAAGAAGAAGAAGGAAGAAAGGAAGAAATAGTCGGAGAAAGGAAGAAGATAAAAGAAGTAACGGGAGGAATAGAGAGGAGGAAAAGAAGAAGAAGAAGAAAAAAAGAAGAGGAAGAAGAAGAAGAAGAAGAAGAGGAAGAGGAAGAAAGTGAGGAAATAGGAGGAAATGAAGCAGAAAGAAGAAACGGAGGAATAGGAGGAGAAAAAGAAAGAAGAAGAAGAGGGAGAAAGTAAAGAAATAGGGGGTAGGAGAAAGGAAGCAGATAAAGAAGTAACGGAGGAATAGGAGGAAAAGAAGAAGAAGAAGAAGAGGGAGAAAGTGAGGAAATAGTAGGAGAAAGGAAGCAGATAAAGAAGTAACGGAGGAATAGGAGGCAGAGGAAAAGAAGAAGAAGAAGAAAAAGAAGAAGAGGAAGAAGAAGAAGAAGAAGAAGAGGAAGAGGAAGAAAGTGAGGAAATAGTAGGAGAAATGAAGCAGATAAAGAAGTAACGGAGGAATAGGAGGAGGAAAAGGAAAGAAGAAGAAGAGGGAGAAAGCAAAATAGTAGGAGAAAGGAAGCAGATAAAGAAGTAACGCATGAATAGGAGGAGGAGGGAAAGAAGAAGAAGAAGAAGAAGAAGAGGAAAGTGAGGAAATAGTAGGGAGAAAGGAAGCAGATAAAGAAGTAACGGAGGAATAGGAGGAGGAGGAAAAGAAGAAGAAGAAGAAGAAGGGAGAAAGGAGGAAATAGTAGGAGAAAGGGAAGCAGATAAAGAAGTAACGTAGGAGGAGGAGGAAAAGAAGAAGAAGAAGAAGAAGAAGAAGAAGAAGAAGAAGAAGAAGAAGAAGAGGAAAGTGGAGGAAGAAGTCGGAGAAAGGAGCAGATAAAGAAGTAACGGAGGAATAGGAGGAAGAGAAAAAAGAAGAAGAAGAGGAAGAAAGTGAGGAAATAGGGGTAGGAGAAAGGAAGCAGATAAAGAAGTAACGGAGGAATAGGAGGAGGAGAAGAAGAAGAAGAAGAAGAAGAAGAAGAAGGAAGAAAGGAGGAAATAGTCG